TGAAGTGTTTGAGGAGCCTCCATGCTCTCTTCCCTCCTAGCTATAGTAATTTACATGCCAAGCAAACATTGTATAAGGTTTCTTTTTCTCTGCATTCTCACCAGCATTTATTATTTTGTTGTGGTTTTGATTTGGATTTTGTTCATTCACATCATTTGCCCATTTTTAAAATCAGATTATTTAGATTTTTTCTAGTAAGTTTTGTGAATGTTCCATGTATACTTAAGAAGATAGAATTTATATTATTACAATATATTCTAAATAAATTCATAAGACCACTCTGCTTTATAGAGCATGCATCACTTAATTATGAGGCTATGTTTCAAGAAATGTGTCATTAGCATGTTTCACCATCACAGGAACATCTTAGAGCATACTCGCTCAAACTAGGACACCTGTGCTGTCACACGGCAGTATAACCTTCTGGAGTCATTGTTACAGTGGCCACTGTTGACTGAAATACTAGTACATGGCATAGTCTTAGTCACTCTCCTGCTTGCGGGAACAGACTACCCAACACCTGCAACTTACTGGAGGGGAGGTTTCTTTTGGCTGTCAGAACTTTCAGTCCGTGTTGAGCAGGCACAGCAGATGCCCATGTTACGGCAGCCAGCAAGCAGCCCAGGAAAGCAGCCTGGAAGAGAGGTTTACTTCCAGGCCCTGACTCCTTGCTGTGAGCCAGCAACAGGGTGCAGTCTTTTTACCTATTAGCACATTCTGATGCACATCTAGATTAAATTAGCACAGTAAATATGTTAGCAACATCTTGGTAAATGATTTTTCAATTTGAGCTTTCTCAGACTGTGGCTAGTGTGTCAGAGTGTCCTGTTAATAGTGTTTATAATAGTGTTTATATCACTCCTTTTTTTTTTTTTTTTTTTCTTTTTGAGACAGGGTTTCACTATGCAGTTCAGGCTGACCTTGAACTCACTTTGTAGCCCAGGGTGGCCTCAAACTCAGACTGATCCTCCTGCCTCAGCCTCTGGAGTGCTGGGGTTACAAATGTGTGCCACCATGCCTGGCCAAGGTTTTACTCTTAATCCAAGTTAAAGGTCTTTTCTTCCTAAGAGCTTGGTTATACTAACCCACATTCAATTGTATTTCTGATGTTTGCACTCAACTCTGTCATGTTTTCTAATTACTGAGTGCTCTATGTTATATGTACTGTTTATTTCTTTACTAAATATGTTGTCATTGCAATTTTCAAAAAATTTCTCTTGGTATTTAGAACGATCTATATTTTTGTTCCATGGGTACTGTTGTACTTGCAGTTTTTTTAGTGGTCTACTTTCCTATTTCTTATGTACCCTTACATTTTCTAATCCATTTTGTCATTTTACTGCAGTGTTACATTTTATTTTTGATTGAAGTTTAAATGAAAAGGGAAGTATTGTATTAAAAAGAGCATCCAAGAAGTATATATAAGATTATAACACCTCCACTTAGGCTCTGCCACCAGGTCCCTCACTGGTGTGCATGCCATAGTACTTTGGTCTTTGTTTCTCATGACGCTGTCTTCCCAGGCCATCCCTTGATTCCTTCCCATGTGACTTTCCAGTAGAAACCGCCATGCGGAGCTCAGGTGGTGAGCAGCCGCCTCTTCCCACCATTTTCCACATCAGACTGAAGGATAGTTTATGAGGAAACTCCGTGGTGCTTAAATAGCCTGCCTACTTGTTTGATGACATCTGGCATGGGTTTTATTTCTTAAGCGTGCATCAAAGAGACTATCACCCCATGAATTTATTTATTTATTTGTTGTTGCACTGGTGATTGACTCAAGACCTTGTGCTTGCTAGGCAGGCATTGTGCTGCTGAGCTAAATCCCCGGCCCATGAATTTAAATTAATTATGTAAAAAAACTTTGCATACTCTGGTGATAGGGCAAGAGAAGTGTTCCTCCTGGATCATATTTGGAGTCCATTTTCAGTGATATCCTTTCACTCTGTCTAGGTGGTCTACCTTCCTCTAACTCTTCTACTTTTCAGTTAGTTTTTTCCCTTTAACCAATGAATCCAAGAGTTAGTTATTTGAAAGATTAAATAAAATTGACAAATCCTTATTTGACCTTATCAAAAAAGAGAAAGAAAAGACTTAAATTCACAGTTAGGAGTGAAGAGTGAAATCACAGTGGGTCCCCCAGAAATCCAGAAGAACATCTATGTCTACTTTGGAAACTTCTATTCTAATAAATTGGAAAATGCAGAAGAAATGGATGGATTTCTAGATATATAACTATTACCAAAGCTGACTCAAGAAGATATCCTAAATAAAAATCCTAAATAAACCAATATTAATCAGTGAAATCAAAGATGTAATTAGAAACCAACCAACATAGAAAAAAACCCAGGCCTTGATGCCTTAAATTTAGAGAGGGCTTAACACCACTACTTCTCATACTCTTTAATGAAATTGAAAGGGAAGCAATACTCCCAAATTCGTTCCTGGAAGCATTACCCTGATACAAAAACTGGAGAAGGACCCAACTAAGAGAGAAAACTACAGGCCAATCTCCCAAATGAAAATAGATGCAAAAATCCTCATTAAGATACTGGCAAACAGAATACAGCAAATCATCAAGAAGGTTATACATGATGACCAAGTTGAATTCATCCCAGGAATGCAGCGATGGTTCAATAAATGTAATACACCATATTAACAGAGCCAGGACGACCATATGATTGTCTCAATAGATGCAGGTAAAACTTTTGACAAAGTCCAGCACCCATTCATGATAAAAATCATACAGAAAATTGGAATAGTTGGTCTTTATCTCAATCTGATGAAAGCCATCTATGAAAAACCAACAGCCAGCATCATACTAAATGGACAAAAACTGAAAGCTTTCTCTGTAAAATCAGGAATAAGACAACAATGTCCACTGTCTCCACTCTTCAACATAGCCCTAGAAACTTTAGCCAGAGCAATTAGACAAGAGAAAGAAAAAAAAGGAATAACAGTAGAAAAGGACAAGATAAATTGTTATTTGCAGGTAACATGATACTGTACCTAGAAGATCCTGAAAACTCCACTAAAAAACTGCTAGATTTAATAGCAGATTCAATAGTGCAGCTGAATACAAAGTCAGTGCTCAAAAATCAATAGCCTCCTGTACACAAAGAGCAAGTTCACTGAGAGGGAAATTGGGGAAACCACCTCCTTCACAGTAGCATCCAGAAAAATGAAATACCAAGGAATCAATCTAACAAAGGATGTAAAAGACCTCTACATTGAAAACTACAGTACTCTGAAAAAAGAGATTGAAGTGGATATTGGAAAGTGGAAAGACATCCCTTGTTCTTGGGTAGGAAGAAGCAATATAGTGAAAATGGCCATACTCCCAAAACTGTTATACAAATTCAATGCAATTCCAGTCAAAATTCCAATACTGTATCTCACAGAATTAGAGAAAACAATCCTAAGATTGATTTGGAACCAGAAGAGACCTAGAATAGCAAGGGCAGTTCTGGACAACAAAGGCAAAGGAGGAGGCATCACAATCCCTGTCTTGAAATTGTAGTATAAAGCCACTTGATAAAAACAGCTGGTACTGGAAAAAAAAAACCAGACTTAAAGATCAGTAGAACAGATTAGAAGATGCAGAGACAACCCCAGACGTACTCAGCCACTTTACCTTTGACAAAAGGACTAAACACATTTGCTAGAAGAAATGTAGCCTCTTTAATAAATGGTGCTGGAAAAACTGGCTCTGCACATGCTGAATATTAAAATTGAACCCGTATCTTTCACCATGCACTAAACTAAATTCAAAATGGATCAAATATCTAAATATTAAAACAGAAACATTAAATCTTATGGAAGATACAATAGGTAAAACTCTTGAAGACACTGGTGTAGGCAAAGACTTTATCAATAAAACCCAGATCACACAGGAACTATCACAATAATCAACTACTGGGATCTCATCTTATTAAAAAAACTTTCGTACAGCCAGGGAAACCACCAACAGAGTGAAGACACAACCTACAAGCTGAGAAAAGTGTTTTCTAGCTGTTCCTCAGTTTCTTCTCTTCATTGCAAGCATAGAGTTTGCCTACTATACTTTCTTCTATATTCATACACCGATTTTAGTTCTCACTCTACAAATACAAACTGTTAGTCCTTTTTCAGTTATTTGCTATTGACTGGAGCTGCTTCTCTAGAACACTCCTTTGAGAAGACCATGTGAGTAATATTTCCTGAATTCTTGAAAGTTCAAAACTGTTGTCCTATAGACTTGTGTTATAGTTTGTGTCTGGGTGTCCCCCCAAAGCCTCATGTGGCCATGGGGCAGACTTTTAGAGTTTCATTGATTACGGGTGTGAGAGCTACACCCGCCCTGGGGTGGATAGATTGCATATGTAAGGGAGAGGAAGAGGGTGCTTCTGGCCCATTTCCTCCCTTGTGTGTTTTTTTGGTGCTTGCTGCTTTACTGTGTTCTGCCACCATGAGCTGTAGCCCTCTGCCATGTGCCACTCTGCCTTGTAATCTGCCAAGTATGGACTGAAACCTCCACAAACTATAAGCAAAATAAACCTTTCCTTCCTTAATTTTGGGCGTCAGGTATTTTGTCCCAGCAATGAGAGAAAAGTAACCAAGACAACTTGATATATAAAGAGCTACTTGAGTATGAAGACCTTGGGTTACAGTTGATTATATTCAGTTTCTTGAAAATATTTCTTTGTACTTTATTTGTATATTGTTCTTACAAAAATTAGCACATAAAATTGTTTTGTTGTGGTTTTTCAGTAGCTTGTTAGTTTGTGTGTTCTTTTTAAAAATTAAAATTTTAATTAGTATCAAGTTTGTTTGTTGGTTGGTTGGTACCAGGAATCGAACTCAGGATTTCGCAGTTGCCAGGCAGGCGCTTGTGCCACTGAGCTATATCCCCAGCCCAGTATCAAGTTTCTTAAAGCAAGACCTGGCAAGGAATTTAACTTATAATGAGAGCTAAAGTTAGACTCATAACTAAAAGTTTTGTGTTTTTTTTTCTTTCATAGGAATTGAAACCTGATACAGTAACTAAATCTGCTCTTGGTGATGATATCAACTTTGAAAAAATCTGCAAAAAGGTATATCTGCAAAAGATTGTATTTGTATTTTGAACAGCTTTTTAATTGTAATCCTTACTTTTTTTTCACTTTTTTCATTAAAAAGAAGATTTACCAAGAAACCAGTTGCTACAAGTGTATGATTTTCCCTCCATGAGCTTCAGTATTGCCACTGAAAAATATTTTTGTCATTTATAAATTTTACTTTGCTGTTCTGTTGAACTTAATATGACATTTCATATTTTATGTACATCTTAAAAATTAACTTCACTAGTTTTTATCTGAGAAACTACTCTTTTCCTTTCCAGGTTTTCCTAAATTCCTTGTTTAATTTCTGGTTCACCTTGTAAACGATTTGTTTTTACCCCCTTTTTATACTATAGAGGTATACTTTTTATACTTTTATAAAATAGAGGTCAAAACAGAGTGCTGTTAGCTGGCGACAGCCATGACACAGTTGGTGGGCAGCAGGGGCTCTGGCCCAGTCACTGCTGTCTCCTCCCTGCTGTTTCCCTTCTGTATAATGACCCACATTGTTGATGCCTGCGCAAGACAGTTGTGTTCAGAAGGCTGATTTTTTTTCTCTATTCTCTGGTTTTGCTTTTACTGATTTTTGTTCTAATTTGCATTTCTTTCTCCTACCAGTCATTATATGAACATATTTGATATGCACCATGCATAGTGCCAAGAATTAAATATTTACCTTAAAACTAAGTAAAATCTAGATGCATTTGGGCAGCTTAAACCATTCATACTTAAGTATTTTAGGTCATTGTATTTATTTCCCTAGTTTTACATGCAACATGTGTACAATTAGAGGGAATGTATGTCTTAAGAAGTAGCATGTGTAATTCCTCTTTTCTCTTGTGGGTAGTGTATTCTTTCTCCCTTACCATCTCTTCCTACACACTTTATTTGATATTTTCTTAGTGTACTGTATATATTTATGATCTCCGGCAGCAGCTTGTCAAGAATTCATAAGTACGCATTGAATATTTTTTCCATTTTTTCATTGTTTTATCTTTTTTATATGACTCTTCTTCCTTAGTTGACTGTAGGATTTACACACGCTGTGTTCTGGGACCAGTAAATTTAGGGATTGATCTACTCTTGGAAGTAGGATCCAAGGACAGTATACTTGAGATTTAATACAAGCTTTATTTGAAGTTAAATAACACTATCCCTTCTTTAGCAAGATAACCACAAACAGTCCATTTGGTTGGACCAGAAGTACTGTGGCAAACTCTGCATGGTTATTTGGAGGTAATAAAACCTCCAAGTAAACCTGAAAACTTTTACAAAATCGAACTTCACTAGGGGTCACCTTTCAAGAAGAGAAATAATATAGCTAAAATGTCCATACCATAAAGCAGTTACTTTCTCCAGTTCATTGAGAAAAAGTTAGCTTGTATTATTAAAATCTCTATAGCCTTTAAATGATTGGTTTTATTATTTATGTTTATTTACCTACCCCTCACAGTAATGTTTACAGATAAGGTCTTACATGTATTTATTAAATTAAATTTGCTATAAGCTTTACTTTATTTCTGTATAAAACTATATTCATATATCCTAGCTGTCAGTATTTTTAAATATTTCATCTAATATAGAAAAGTTTAGTTGGCAGAATATATGAAGTATAGTTCTCCCTTCTATGGAAAATACTTCATCAATTTTCAGCAAGTAATTTAAAAATCTTAGTTGAGTTTATATATAATATTAAGTCTTGAAAATGTTTTATTACCTCCAAAAAACCATGCAGAGTTTGCCACAGTACTTCTGGTCCAACAAAATGGACTGTTTATGGTTATCTTACTAAATATTTTGGATAAATGGAAATGTTTATTCTTGTATAGCTTTAGAGAAAACCTGAAAGTGAAGTAAAGCCCAATTAATATGAAAAGCACTGGTATTCACTATTCTCCTTCTGCCCGTTCATTTAGAGTCATTTTATTTTAAGCAACATTTCAAAGAACTAATGCTGCATGTAAGAGTTTTGTTCAGCTTTGAATGTTTTTGGGTGTGTGTGTGTGTGTGTGTGTGTGTGTGTGTGTGTGTATTCAGGCTGTTGTTTATATTCAGGGGTACATTTTAAAAATTCTTTGCAAAATGAATGCTAAATACGTTTATGATAATAAACACCCATATGCCAAAATAAAATTTTCCATTAAAAGACAAGGTGTTTTCTGTGTTTTCATTTGAAGCTAGAGGCATGTGAAAACCACAGTTTCCTGAAAATTTTCCATGGCAAACATTGGGTCAATTTTAAATAGGGAAAGCGGTGATTTCTTTCATACTTCCCAGTATTGTGAGGGATTCTTCATGCAGGTGTAAAAGCTGCTTGTTCATAGACTACTTCATAGCCTTTTAAGGTTCAAAATAAACTTATTTAAATTTAAAACGTATCACTCTAATTGTATTCCTTATATAGCTCCATAACATTTTCTGTCTCTTAAATGAAATGTATCACATTTTGCCTTGGGTGAGTCATTTGTGTATTTGGCTTGCGCTTTTACTTATAAGGTATATGTTTACAGTGCAGAACAGTTTTTACTCATCCCTAGAAAAATAATCACATCTTAATAACTGATACTTCTTCTTGTTTCCTAAGAGGTTACATTTCAGCTAGTGTTCCCTTGGAACTAGCTTTGTTACTTTCAGACAGATTACTTACCCTCTCTGACTGTTATTTTTTCCCATTTCTGTGACCAGGAACCTTTCCAAATCAAACATTTTGGTAATATATTTTGGTCTCCCCTCAGTCATTATTGCATCAGATAAAAATGATAGAGCTTATTCTTTGAGGTTAATCTTAATTTTGCCCTAAAATTAGGTATATTTCATGTACCCTGTTTGTCCCACTAAACAGGATTTTTATCCTTTATTTATATGGTATTTTTTAAAATATTTTAATGTAACAAGAATAGTTCATTTTTTAAGGCCATGGTATATGGTAGCCAAAAACTTTCGAGTTTGACCCCCAAAATATAAAAAATTTAAAGAAAAAATAAGGGTAGGAAAGAGGGAGATGGGCTTTCTGGAGATGGGAAGCAGACCTGAGAGGGAAGATGTAGGGGAAGGGAAAAGGGTCAAGATGTTGTGTACATGCGTCAAACCCATGTGAATGCACAGGCATCACCCCCTGTGAATGTATTTATCATGTACTCCAGAAATACTAATAGTTTTTTTAAGAAAATGAGTAGCGCTAAGTACTCTTTGAAGTGTTTATACACAAATACCATTATGCTACAAAGTAGATATAGTACATACCAACAATACAACATTTTTGTTAAATAGATTCCCGGTTAAATGAATAAAAACTTACCCCAAATTATGTTTCTACACATGTAACAGTGTTATTTTAGCCATTGTTGAGCACATGGGTACTCACCCATGGTATAAACTGGATTTTGGATTTATGGCTATTCAAAACTTGCCCAGAGACACAGAATGTGTTACAGGAAGTCATATGACCAAACTTTGTCCTTCTCCTGAATAAGCACATTTCTAAGAAGTATTAAGTATCAGAACATGTTGCATATCTCCCTTAAAAGCAACTACCTTCACCAAAATGTTTATGAATAGTCTTCCACAGAGATAACATAAAATCACAGTTGTAGAGTAATAACAAATTAGATGTTCATTCATTAGATTTATATGTAATTTTAGAATTAGAGTATCTTACTGTAGTCTTTTTAATACAGTTTATTGAAATAATATTACTAAATCCTAGGTATTCGGAGGCATCTTCTAAGGCAGAGAAATTACCTAAATGAATAAATCTAATGATAAAATGATTAATAGCATAATATTTACTCAGAGTCAGCACTAGACATTCAAATATTTCCATTGCTCTTCTAAAACTTTCTACAGCTAAGAAGCAAGGATTTGGAAGTGACAGTAGATGTGTTTTTGAATAATCATGTAAGAATATATTTTAGTCAAAATCTATTTGGAATTCTTGAAATCCTTATCTAAACAGATGAGATTAATTTATGTAATGAGAATAGTTAACCTCATTTATCTGTTGTACAAATACAGATGTTCCTATATTGCAGATTACCTTTGAAGTGAATTTGTAGGGACTCCAGAGGGGAAAAGACACTGAAGGAAGCAGTGAAGGGTAAACAGCTTCTATAAAGTAGCATCTTCTTGTCCCTTATAACCTGAAAGGCGATTTCCTCAGGCATGCAGAACATTTGTTAGCACTGATTTTTTGGATGTCATTGTGTTTTGTTTTGTTTTTTTTCCTACTTTGTAGCCAGATTCTACTGCAACTGAAAGAGCAATTGCCAGACTAGCTGAACACCCTCTTCTGAAGAAAAAAGTAGATACACTAAAAGGTAGGAGTTAAATGACTTTTAAGTTATACACTTTAAGGCATTTGTGTATATGGTTTTGGATAAATGACTTCATTCATTATAAATATTTTGTTTTTTCAGCTCTTGAGGATATTTTGTATTATAAAAGTAAGGTTGTTTCAACTGTCTGTAGATACAAAGAAGTCCCTGTAATGTTAACTGTCTGATGTCTGAAGAAAAACTAAATCTGTATTTTTTCTTAAATTTTAATATGTTAACATGTATTATATAATATATGAAATATATTTGATATGTAATGTATACATGGTCAAGTTGAAAACAAGTTAAATACATATAGTTCATTACTTTTGACTTTGCTAGTGTCACGCATTTATTTAAATATATGTAAAATATAAAGGCTTGAGTGCTGTTTCTCAGATTATTTTTATGTCCAAAAGCATATTTTGTAATATCTATTATTACCACAGAAGTTAAAGTTTCCATTTTACTTTATTTATAGTCAGAGACGTTTTTACTATTCCTTATAATTCTAATACATTAAGGAAGGATGAGTTCTTTTTACTTGGCAGCTTAAAAATAGGTGTATTTGACCATGTCTTAATATAAATTCCAATTATTTTCTTAAAAGTTTCCAAATAATTAAGAAATACTCTGCTGAACCCGATATTTATTTATTTTTT